AAGTTTGTAAATCACGAGCCGAATGTTGAATGGTCCAAGATAGCGAACCAATCAGATTGCTTAAATCATCATGATCACTGAGTGTCTCATGGTATACTAAATATATACTAGAATTTCTTGTAATGCCATGTATCTTAGTGTTCAGAAAATGTTACATCCTTTCAAAAGTCCATATAGGACGATCACTTGCACTCGTGGAAACTTGACATAATAAAAATACGAAGAAGTAATGTACTCTGCGCTGAGTAATGACAATATCAAGAAGTCATATTTGGAGTTGGATTCTTAACTGTTACATTACAAGTTCCTTATAGTGAGACCCTTAGGGACCAGCATATCCAGGGTGCGTAGTAACTTGGGGTACATATAAATTATAAATAAGATAGAAGATAATGGTATTAAATTAAAAATAACCTACATAAACCCCTTGTCTATTAAAACATATTGAGCAGAGATCTTTCTAGTTGGATTCGGATTGGTAAACTTACAGGGAAGTCCCGCTGACAATTTGGTTCCCACCAGCACACAGGAGTGGATGAGACCTGCAGTCAACTCCCTGACCTTTTGCCAATATTTGCAGTGTGAGGCTTTTCCCCACGTTTCTTTCCTTGGAGTAGATACCTCCTTTGCAACTTTCATCTAGTATATAGTACACAAAAATAAAGAATACCCAAGTTAAACAACAGTACTAGTTTTAACCAGTTAATGTGAAAGGAAATTGTGATCAACGCAAATATTCTTTAAATGTCAGATAGGTTTCATTAACTCAGCACACAAGCATTTTGATGTTGGTTTATTGATCATTACATGGTGACCAGACAGTTTAAGATTCTTATGAGATACTCAACAAAGAAATAAAGAAGCAAAGTAAAAAATTCAGTTGTTGATCTAATCTTCTGGAAATTGAGCAAATTATGGATACAACAGTAATTGTTAAAAGCTTTATGAAAAAAGGAGTTTACTGTTTTTAAAGTATGAAATTATTGATTCAACAGTAATAAGTATTTTTGATATGTTAATACTGTTTTGTTGTGTTGTTGATAATCACTCTTTTGGTGTTTTGGAATCATCACCAACATGCCAAGTTAAGCTGCATGTATGTACATTTGACATGTAATTTATACAGATCACTGACATTACTTCACAAACTGTAAACTACTTTAATTATGCTCCACTTGTGTCTTAACTGCTTAGTTGCACCTGTGGTTCAGTAATATCATCACCTTATACCTCCCTTTCATGGGACTGATTGGAGAACCATCAGGGGCATGAAGATTTATTTCTATACGTTCATATCTAGAATTACATTCATACTATAGATTCACAGGCTAGTACACCAATGAAATGGATATTCTGGATTATTCTGTTTATTCATTCAATCAGTAACACCAATTTATCAAATGCATTCTTCACTATCATAGGTTAACGCTGATTTTTATGAAGATCAACAACCTAATCTCACCAGAGAAATCTTCACCCTGTTTGGTCTAGACTGAAGCTTCCAACTGAAATGCTATGGTGTTGGCACCAAAATTCTCGGACAGTTCCGAAAACCTTTAAGAAGACAAGTAAAAACAATTTTATTATTACTGTTAATGTTGCTGATTGACAATATATATCATGCGAAAGTTGTGAATATGTTTGTATCATAATAATTTAGCATGCATGTAGCTTAATGAAATTCATTATTTGCTATATCTGGGCATGCCAGTCTACATGTATAAAATATTAATTTTTATATTCAGAAAAATTAGCATGCATGTACTTTTGAGACAGTTTCCCGGCATTTTTGTAATGAAAGATCATTTCCGGTTATCAAAGAGGGTGGAGTTTTTAAAAAAGTTTTCATCAATTTAAAAAAGAAGCCATATATTTTGTGTAGTTCTTAATAGCTGGTACAGCAATAAAAAAGACACAAACAATTAACCAACACATACCCTTTGGTTACTGACGTCAGTAGGTCAGGGTCCAATAGAATGGCCAGCAAGGGTGCTGTCTGACACGTAGTGTTGAAAGTGGGATGGGGAAAGGATAGACCAGTAAATACCTGCAAACCTTTATTGTAACAAACAAGAAATTTGTAATAATAATAATAATAATAATAATAATAATAATAATAATAACAAGATGTCCAAGTGCATAAACCCAGCCTTCTTTTAGTTCATAAAATGATACAGCGCCAGGGGAAAATGTGCACTATGTGATAATGCACTATTGGCCATATGAACTTTGATGATGAATAAATGGAACATACTACCAGCTAGCAAATCAGACTGGAAGGACTCGAACGTTCCAAAGGGGTGTACTTGACTACGACTGCATAATGCTTCAAAGTAGTGTTGCAGTAGTTTTCTTTTTCTTTAAATTAGCATGAGCTTCAGTCACAATCTTGGGTAGTAAATTAATATTTTGAGGGAAAAAACTTTGAAATAACACCCTATGTGAAGAGAAAGAGAACATAATGGTTGGAATAATTATGTAAGGATTTAAAATTTGTTTTGGTTGCTGAAGTGATTATTGTACATGCTAAATTACTACAAAGCAGTAAAAAACCCAGATCTTCCCATGAGTAAGATCTTTATTCATATTGATGTCACTCTGATACAGGTACTGCAAAGAAATAGTAAAATACATGGAAAAGAACCTGGATATAACAAAACCTCATTTATGGCAATCATTTTTGCCAGTCCCTTGGCCATTTGTTATAAATTATCGAGGTTCCATTGTAACATTAAGTAAAAAAACTATTACCAGCTAGCAGGCCAGGTCTGATTTGCTGCTCTTATGTAGCTTCAACAAGTAGTCTAGACACTTATAGGCACGCACTGATTTCCCTCTCACAGCAATTTTTATTTGGTTTAGGGCAAATACAATTTACACAAGACAAGAATAGGCAAATTCTTACAAAATGTTTGGAAGCAAAATTAAAATAATTATTAGTATAGTTACTGTAAGACTTATTTTCTCAAGGAGGAAGTTTTAAGTTTAAAATTACACCACAAATGCCAGTAATTAATCTTTTTTCACAAATACCATTAACATTCAACTCTCTCTAAGATGCATACAACTTTGCCTGGCAGTAATATATGTTTCAGAGAATTGTCTAGTTGTGGACAGCTAGAACCAACTCTAGGTGCCTATCTTATAGTTGACTGTAGTCTACGGTTTCTTTTAAAAAGCTGACTGGTACACAAGTATCATGACAACCAACATATAAGTCTCGGATCGTAACGTTTGTGATCCAGGCCTAATTTAGAAGGATTTATATGGAGTAATCTGGGCATAAAGTTGCTCACGTCCCCCACCCCTCCCCCCCCCATCCCCACTAATGTGCACTAACAAGTTAATTTGGAGCAAGAAGGCATTTTCACTTTGTTCTTTCTGAATATGCTACCCAATTTGACCACTCAAGAAAATATCATAACATACCATAATACTCTTTGTTTGTCACCCCAAAATTTTGCATAAGCATTGCCTTCAGTTTCTCTTGGGAGTTAAAATGGCCCCAAGAGAAACTGGAAACAATGCTTATTCAAATTTTTGAGGTGACAAATAAAGAGCATTACGGTATGTTATGGTATTTTCTGGAGTGATCAATCCCATAATTTCACAAATTTAGCTTTTTTGATGTCATCACTTCTCTTCTTTAAACAAATTAATTTTACATGAAGTACCTAACACAAAGAACTGCCTTTAATCTAATAAGTTTCCTTTAAATGGTAACAGCAGAGGTATTTCATATTAAAGACCAGACCCCGGTTGTTCAAACATTGGATATCGCTATCCACTAGATAAATCACTATCTAGCAGATAAGTATTATAGGAAACTATATTGCACTATCCAGTGGATAGTGTTATCCACCTTATGAACCACTGGAGCAAAAAGTTAAAACATCACAGTATATCTCTCACTACAAGTGTAAATAACTCACCATACAGGCAATATTGGGGTACAGTCACATCAGGAACAAAGACAAAATAAAATTTTCTCTGCTCAATTTTTTTGTCCTGTGACCAACCTTAATAGATATCCACTTACCATTATATTTAGCTGGTTACTGGTGCTTAGCCTGTTCAGCTGGCAGGATTGTTATACGCGGGGTACTTTCTTGAGGTGGAATTGCATCGGATTTTCATGAGTGGCATTCTCACGGCTCTGCCACCAAATAACAACAGCCCTTGCCTGCTAATCCTGCCAACTACGCAGGCTATAGGCACTCAATGGGCTCCCTATAAAAGTCTTCCCAGTACATATAAAAACTGACAGGTGTATGCCCATGACTTAACCACTAGCTCGAAAATAGTTACTGGTTTCACAGAGTGATGTACAAACACATGCTTCCAACATGAAAATCTGACTTGAACTAACCCAGCAAGCATCTAATTCTTAAATGGGCAGTTCACAAATACAGTAGAAATAAATTTATTCCTTTAAGGAACTGACAGCGCACTCAAGCACAAACTTTGTCAAAATCAATGTTCCTGAAACTACAAGGGAAGAATGTCCAGTACCTGCAATAAATCTGGACTCTCCTAGGTTGTACAAGAGAAATTCTTAGGTATGTTTATACAGTTAGGACACAGGACAGCCAAGCCACATCTGATGTCTACGGTATTACACGTTTTAAAAATAATGGATACACATTTCAGTGGATACCTGTTTCAAGAGGCTCCAGTTAAAGTGATTCCTCAAAGTAACTCCCAGTGGTGTCTGATGATAATAAATTGTTGAACTGCTTCCCTATGTGTGTTGTATTTACTTGTTCAACACAAGCAGACAATTTGGTACAGGATTAAGATTCTACAGGACACTTCTTTTTAAACTGCTTCAGGTATAACTACTAACTAAAGGTTATGTACAGAACTACACCTCAATTTCTTTCGTATACAAATCTTCAATTTGTTTGAGTATAAATAAATAATAATGTATTGAATGATTATTAAAATTATATTGGTACAACTTTTAACTAAATTTGATATAAATATCCTCTATAAAGAGGCTAAGATTTTCCTTTTCCCTTCAGACATTTTCGACAAATGCGCAGCATTTCACCTGGATTTGCCTGTTCTGTAAACAAAGGCTTGATATGACTTGGTGCATTGCCTCTCATAAAACACCTGTACGACTTGACTACCTTTTGATTGCATCCTGGACACTTAATTGGGATTTGATTTCTCCTTGTCATAGAATGGCCTTTGCCTATGGAAACAAACACAAACACTGCATGTTTCTATTTCTCCAAACTGTAAAAAAAAACACTATTAAACAACATGTGGGAGCAACTAAGGAAGGTATTGGCCACGTCTGATGCAGAACACTGTCACCTTTTTCAATACCCTCTGACAGGTCACTAAGGTATTGAACACCTTTGTCACTACACTGTGCAAAAACTTCTGTTTGGACGTTGACAACTCTGAATCATTACCCTGAGAGGAAACCCTTACCTAGCCTCTGTCCAGCATTTTCCCACGCCTTCTCCGTCAATTTGTGTCAGTGACATATCTGAGACATGCTAAAAAACTCATTCAGACCATGTGACCCCAAATGCATAGACAGCACGGAATAATGGAGCCTAAGGACCAGGCAAAGGGATCCCTACAGCAGTGACTACCTTCTGGGGTATATTGAATAAAAACACACCATCAAGAATATCTGGAGTGCAAGGATTAAGTTTAATATGACAAGATTTAAATAGGGCTTTTAAAACAAATTACGAGAAAGGGAAACCCCTAACTGTAAAGGTAATAAAATAGACATTGGCTGAATCTGTTGCGGAGTGTTATTAGGAAACCTCCGTGTCACTGTCCTGACACAACTGCCGAGATCTCTAGGGTATTCTCTACCAGAAAACCCTATGGTACTGGCAACCCTCTTGTGTCATTACAACTTAGGAGCCATTGTTCTTTGACTCAATTTGTCCACAAGTTTTGCATGTGAACTCTAGAATGTTCAGTTCAAAGAAATGAAACTGCCCAGAGTACTTTTTGCACTTGTCTAGATCCACTTGTTTAGTGGAGCCTTTGAATCACATCTGACCAGCAAAGTTTTATGAGTGAATATCCAGGCTATTTTTGAGCTAAAGAAATCAAAGCCTAAAATTGTATCTCACCTTTGCCACTAGAAACTTCCTCATTGCTGCTATCCCCTTTGACTTTGGTAGCAGAGCCATTCTGAGAAGACTCAGCAGATTTTCTGGACATCTTTTCGAGCAGGGCAGCAACAGCACGTCTCTTGCTTCCCACTGCAGAATCAATTTCTGCCTTTTTGTCACCTTCTGACTCAGAAAATGACGCCAGTCTTTTCCGTGTCATTACAGTCGGGACTATCTGTTTATAATCCTCACGCTTTTTGTCAGGAGTTCCCGAACTCCTTCCTCTCCTGGGTGATGAAACTTCAGCAGGTTTCATTTCTCTTGCTCTCACTGGAGACCTTGAAGATGACCTTGTTTCTCTCACTTTCACCCCTTCTGCAATACTTTTACATGCAGCAACTCTTTCTACTTTTTCATCTGTTTTCTTCTCCTCGCTGCTCTTTGATTCGGATTTGGTATTTTCTTCTTGCTCAAGCAATGAAACCACACTTTTCTTGACATCACCTCCCATTTCTTCAGTTGCAGCACTTGTGCTTTTTCCTATCAATTCTTGCTCAACATCTTCCTTCTGCGTCTGAGAACTGATTTTTACATCATTTGATGTCGTTGAATTTGCATCACTTGATGTCACTTGTTTTAAAGCACTAACCTTGGGTCTGTCTTCAGCTTTTTCATTTAATTCTTTTTCTGGAGTGTCCTCTGATACCGTTTCATTGGACAGTGACACTGGCTCTGCTGACTTGATTTTAACCTTATTTAGACCAATCATAGATTTCATTGATTGTGTACCAAAGTCAACTTTAGCTGCTTTGGGCTTATTTTCTGCAGAGTGTTCACTGGCAACTGAACTGTCTTTAACTTTTTCCATTGTATTGATCCCCTTGTCACTTTTCTGTCCAGGGCTCTTGACCAAGGTCGACAAGACTTTAGCACTTGTATTAGCATTTTTGGGACTGACTGATTTTCCACCTTCCAACTTGGTTTCCTCTTTAGGTGGAATAATAAGCTTACCCATCACAACTTGAATAGGTTTGGTATTTGCAAGCTTAACATCTTTGGCCATGGGTACTTTTGAGGCTGGTAATTTCTTTGTTTGCATGACAATGAACTGTTTTTTGGTAGGGGAAACTTTTGCTTTATCTTCCTTGATTCCATCCTTCTGCTTTTTATCATCTTTTGAAGGTGACTTTACAGCTGGGACTTTCTTCTCATTCATCTTTCCAGAGTTAGCTTTACTAGTTGACTTGGCATTTTTAACCAGCTTTGCACTTTTGATCTTGGCAAGTTTCCCCTTAACTGCTTTTACTTTCCCCTTTCCAGCTCCTGCACTGCCATCTTCTTCTTTGGGCTTTTTATATGGCATGCATCTGCGACAAACTTTCACTACTTTGACTCCAGGAGTGAAGAGATGTTTGATTTTTTCTGGTGCATTTTCTTTCTTGTAGCAGCTGTAGGATTTTGTGACGAGGTTGTCACACATGAAGCAAACTATACCACAAGTTCTTTCTGTAGAAGTTTGCCCATCTGCTGATGCTAAGAAAAAAAAAAGTAACAAGTTCAATCACCCACCATAAACACTGGCAGTCATCCCATGTTTTGAATCTTAAAAATGGCTTAAAATGGTTTTACCAAAGTTAAAGGCTTAAAAATGGTTTTACTAAAGGTAACAGTTTTTTAGTATGAGCAGTGAGTTTGGGTGGAGCAAGGTAAGGTAAGGTAAAGGTGCACATAAGCCAAAGGCTTAAATGGCCAGAACAGATCCCAGTCTCGTTAGCATGAAGGATGCCTACGAGTATTGCTTGATTGCAGGGTTAGCCCCCAGCAATATGTCACCAGTACTCATTTATATACCTGGGAGATGAGAGACAAAGTGGAGTAAAGTTACTTGTCTAAGGAAACAACGTGACAGACAAGGCGTGAACCCCGGACCTCCAGATCTGGAGTTCGAGGTGTTCCTATTTTTGCAGAAAAATAGAAAGGATACCTCTCATAAAGGAGGGGCCACTAACACCCCAGGACCCACCTAACTGCAGCCCTGTGTCACTTACATCTTTCCCCATACTGTACTACTGAGGGGATATGTTAGTCTTCCATGCAGCTCTTTTTTGTGTCATCCCACTGCATGAAACAAAAACAGCTGCATAGAAGATTGAGTATCCTTCCCAGACTTCCCTTCCCTTATAGCCCTTGGAAATATTGATTGGTAAACAAACTTTATATTGAATCCTACTCACGAATCAAGCACAAAATGACCTGCACATTATCATTGTTGGCCAGACATCTGACAAGTTTGTGGACAACAACAGGTTGGTTTATGTAAATTGCCCTTCATTCAAGTCAAGATTGTTTCCTTTACAAACACACAGACATTATGCTTCATCCCTAGGTTCCTAAGCAGCCGATTTTGTTGAATTTTTGCGCAAAAGGAAGACAAAAACAGAGCTGCATTATGAGGAGACTACTTCCTTCCTACTTCTCCTCCTTTTCCCTTAAATAATTATATGATTACTCCTTCACCAGAAGCAAACCCATTACATTGGTATGGAATTGAAAGAAATTTTGAACAAGTATAGGATCATTATACGATTCTGGGAAACTGCCCATCTACCCCCTCCCCTATGCCAACATTAACACTCACTTTTCACTTAAGGCAAAATGTTGGCTTAGGGGAGGGGTAGGTGGGCAGTTTCCCAGAAACGTATAATATACATAAGGAGCCCATCTCCCTAATAATAAAAACTGACCAAAGTTTCATCAGCTTAAGGTTCCTAAAGTTTTTTAGACCTCAGGTTAAACTCGTCATAAAAAAGTAGGGGTGGTCCATGGATGGGGTCCACGAAAGGGTGCAAATAAACCAAGGGTCCATGTTTTGTATACGTCCCAAGAAAAACACCAAAAAAGAACCAGGCCAATATTCAGCCATCTTGACTGGAGAAGCTTAAACAGTAAAGGATTTGATATATGGCCACAGAAGATAAAAGTTACTTTTTTCTTGCAAGACCAAAGCTGAAAATCCTGAGTGGGCAAGAAATAGCCATCAGAACACAGGAATAGCTTCATCTTGCTTGCATATGAAACCAGCCATATAATAGACAACTGATACATCCTAATTACATACACCTTAGTTGCACTACCCTTCATGTGTTAATGGCATTAATGCTCAGGGGTGAGTGCGGTGGGGTACTTCCTAGTAGTAAGCTAATGGGTATGTGCTGCTGGGTGGGGTCGCATTTTCACGACTGGATTGACTATTATGGGCCTGCATTTTGATAAGAGTTACTAGAATTGGGTTGCATTTTTTCAGGATTTTGGGGGCCAGAAAATTCAGGTATATAGGGATATAAAAATAGAAAGATTAACACCACACTATTAAAGTTTAACAAATGTGTCAGTTCATTTCAGGATGACCAAGTTAAAAAGCTTTATAAGGTAGATGCATAAACAGAAAGTGACTAAGTTGGGATTGCGAAAATTACTTTTTTCCCACAGTGACTAAGATGGGGTCTATAATATGGCAACAGAATAGACTATTTAACAATTATTCCTCAAGCCCGAATGGGCTCTGAGTCAATAGCCCATCGGGGCGAGAGGAATAATTGTTTTAGTAAAATCCAACTAGTTGGCCAAAAATATTGAGAATAAAAAAATTTTAGCTAGTTAAAAGCTAGACTTTAATCCTTTTTTGTCCCAAAAAGCCTGCGCTTTTCGCTACTAGTGGGCTATAACATATAGCCTAGTAGTAGCTCAACCAATCGGAATGCAGCATTGATAATAGACCACTAGTTGGATTTTACTAAAATGGGGTAGGGGTTCTGAGAAGCCAGCGGCACATACCCAGCAAAAACTAACCCAAGAATCCACCCCCCCCCCGGCTATTAATGGCCCTACCAAAATAGAGTAATTTGTGCCATTGACTATGCTGATGCAGCATTTCCATTGCCAAAGATAATTTTTTTTCATTGATATGTTTAGGTTTTTGTTTGAGACAGTCCATGACAAGCTATACAATAATAGAACAAGCTGTACAATTATTAATGTATAAATTATTGCTATACAATCATTGCATAGCTTGGTGGCATAAAAAGATTGTGTCTGCAATAGACTTCTTCATAAAAAAACTTGTATGTTTTGATTTTCCAAAGCAAGCAGCCCCTTTGTCCTTTCATAAATTATGTGTACATACGCATCTAATGATTGTAATGGACAAAAGAAACAGTTCTATTTAACAATTATTCCACGAGGGCGCGTTGGATATGAGATGATAGATAGCCAACGAGGCGCGTAGCGCCGAGTTGGCTATAATCATCTTATATCCAACAAGCGCGAGTGGAATAATTGTTTTATTAAAAACGCCCACAAAATCTCGTTGAATCTCCCCGACTAGAACAAACTGGAAAAGACAAGGGACTTCCGCTATTCACATGTCACACGTCTATCAAAACTGTCAACACGCGAAGGGACTCGCCTGAACTGCAAGAATGAAAAATCAAAACATTGTAGCGATGAACATTAGTTTTTTAAAAACTCATCGGGATTCTAGGATTTGACACAGCAGAACAGCTTAAAAAACCTGGCAGATAATGTGAAGGAAAATAATTTTTAAGTGACAGCCGTTGAAATTACTGTGAATTTGGATTTTCGGTGCAGTTATAAAAGTAAGAGCAACGGAGAAAAACTATTACCTCGGTCGCTTGTTATGAAGTTGTTTGAAGCCACAAGCTGGTTTTGCTGAACGAGAAAAGAAGCTATACTGCCGCCTCGATTGCTCTAGTGAATGGCTGCATAGCCTGTATTTGTAGCTGGTTACTTGTGATTTATATTCTTGATGTCGGATAAACAAGCCGCAGTTATCTATCAGCGAGTGACTCGATCGACGAATGGCTTCGCGATCATGAAGAAACAACACTTGTCTTCTTTTGTAGCTGGTCACGGTACTTTAGTTCCATGTGTTTTCATGTGTTTTTCGACAAACTTTCAAACAAGCTCTTGTGGCTTTTTTGTTTGTTTTTGTCTTTTTTCTTTCAATGAAATTGCATTTCTAGTATTCTAAAAAATGAATTAAAATGATTTGCTTCGGGCGCCGTTCTATCCTTTGCTAAAAAAAATCTCAGCTAGCTTCCAATTTTAAACTGACGGGTACACCGACCATATATGGAGAGCATGGTATAATAGCTCATATACCATAACGGCTAAGCCAATCAAAATGCTAGAATTGCATTATCCGATGATTCAGTTTTTAATAATGAGTATTATTACACGACCTGCATTGGGAAAACAAAACATAAAGCTAACAAGACATGTCTACTGTGCAAAGGTGGCGGTTATTGGAGGTTCAACGTTACATCACTCACATTTTCAGCAAGGAACTTACAATACTCACCAGTCTTTTTCTGTGGCTCTTGCTTGGTTGCATTTGTCTCTTTCACGGTCTTGCTTGTCGGAACCTTCATTTTGGTAACAGCCTGAGTCCTAAGTACCGATGGCACTTTCCCCTTTGGTGGTGGTAAAGCATAAGCATGATCTAAGAATGTCAGCTTATTATTTATGGATTTAATTTCTGAATTTGAGGTGATGTTCACGGTTGACGGTAATGAAGAATTCTGATCCACTAGTTTCTTAAGATTTTCAGTCACATTAATAGGAAGGCTGTTTTCATTTTGCTCTCTGGCACCTGTGCTTACAACATTTTCATTGCTCTTCAAGTTGTCAACTTCTCCATAAATTGTAAAGCAATTGGGTGTTGGGTTATACTTTCCACCGTGACGTTTCACCACAGTAACAATGCCAGTGTTCTTCACAGGGGCAGGTGTTGGTGAAGCCTGTTTGGCATTCTCTTTTTCCATTGCAAAGAGTTTAGGCATTGTTGCCTGGTTCCTGTTTGTGTTGCCATTCAACAAGAACCTCTCATCATCGGCCTCCATTTCATCTTCATCCGCCATTGTCTCATCACAAAGTAGATCATCGTACGGTCTCTTGAATCCTTTTTTTAGGTCCCTTACAATGTAATCCATAGCTTTGGTTGAACGGCCATGTGTAACTCCTAGGGGAGTCCGCAGATGAGTCATTTGGCTTGTCTTAGAGCGCAGCAGAATAAGGGCAAGGTTTTTCCGGCAGCGCTCTCGGGAACTAAAGCAAGTTTTGCATACCCTGATGCGGTCATTTTCTGGGGTAATAAAGTGTTTAAGATGTACTGGTGCGCTAGTGCGGTTGATAAAACGGTAGGATTTATACACTCTCAGTCCACAGACATCACACCTCATGGGCTGTTTCGGAACAACAGGGCCTGACAATAAATAAATGGTACAACCAGCATTATTAAATTTCCAAAACACAATACCATTTTTGTTGTGACATTCCTGTGATGAGTAAACCTAAAAATATACTCTTTATTTAATCCCATGGCTGATCATGAGTGAGAGTGGGTGATTAAAGCGACCTTGTTTCTTAGTTAATCTTTCTCAGAGCTCACTATAGTACTTTATTGTTGTTCAAAAACTGTACAGTCAAGCCCCGTAAATACAGACACTGACAGGGCCATTGAAATTGTCTGTATTAACGGGATGTCTGTATAAATGGGTTGAATTTAGAGAAAATCTAGGAGCTTTCTTTCCCAAGAGAAAAAGCAAATGATCCATAATAATGAGGTGTCTATGATATGGATGTCTAGGGAACAGTGGATTCACATCATCATTTGACTGAAGAGCAGTAGACTTTAAGTCATCTCCAACTGGCTTTGGCAGTGCTCATGATGCCCTCTGAGAAATACTTATTGGGATTGATCCTGGACTTCACTTGGCTGAAAAAGAACTTCTGTGGGCTCCCTGTGGGTTATCTGTTTGTTTATTTACCTTTCTTCACTTCTTCACTCTCCTCATCTGCTCCCTTTTGATTGGCTTGCTCATCCACATCACTGGCACTTTCCTGATCACTGACACAAGGTGATGCAGGATCTGATGATGGTGTAGGTGGCAACAGATATGGCCTGAAAGAATCAATATAAGAAGCATTAAATTTTGAGATTTCTTGAATAAAAAAGAAAGACAGGGCACCCCGTCAAATGAATCACAGATGAAAGATAGACATACAGGACAAAGAACACCAATTTTCTCCTAAAAGTAACAATATCAACAATAACATCAAGAAAAAAGGTTATGAGAAATAAAGTGATCACAAAAGGGAAAATGTTTTGAACCTTTGTCAAATTCTCTCAACTTTAAGGAGAAATGTACGGAGAATAGTCTGAAGAATCTGCTTGTAAATACTTTAGGCTTAAAGGATTTAACAAAGTAGCCTTTTTGAAGGCAGATAGGTATACTTACAGCCCCTGTGACAAAATCTCCTTTTAAATCTCTTCTTGCAAAAGCCATTCCGATAAGCTACAAGCTCCACTGTCAGACAATAAAATCATTTTTCTCCATTCTAGGGGTTTTCATTTCCACTGCATTATGTTCTGCCAGAGACCTACCTTAAAAATTGAGACCTACCCCATAGATAGCAAATTTTAGACTAACAAGGTACAAAGAACTACATATCAAAATTATTGGAGAATAAAACACCCACATGGCTTGCAAAGACAAACAGTGTCACCATACCTCTGCCAAAGTTAAAACTAAGTGAATATACAAAGAATATTGTGTCACTTACTTTATAATGGAAATTGGTGGCCTTGGAGAAGGTGATGATACCTCCTAAAAAAAAATTAACAGGGTTACATCTCTTAGGAAAAACAAGTAGCACTCCATTCACATAGGCTGGTAATTAAGGCAACAATGTATAGAGCTCAGATGAGAATGGTCCTTGCAGTTTTGAACTTCAATGGGATTTTAGACTATTCACAGTCCTCTATTTTTCCGTAACATAGTCAAGATAGAGCGCTTTGCGTTACGGGCTGCCATCTTGCATGAGTGTCAAAACTACTTAAGGGGCAGGGGTCATTTGGGAGGAAGCGAGAAAAATAGAGGGACTGTAGTAACATCACTGCAGCTCGTGTACAGGAGGCGTGACAGGAATTTCACGCCCTCAAGCATATGTGCAGCTGTACTATAACAAAGTTAGTCTATGAAGGGCAAAATGACCATATGTGTAAGATGCTTTTACCTGGCATTTACCTCTTGTTAGTGTCAGAGCACTTTGCACAAAAGTGCATAAATAAAATGACCCTTGAAAAGGTCACTGGCCTAACATTCTGTAAAATTAATTGAGCCAGCCTGATAAGGATGTGGTTTAGTGTATATAGAACTTCCTGGCACTGAAAACCATTATTAGATCAAGTTTCTATTTTCATCTGCTGGAATGGTTTTTATTTGGTCAGTGAGCACAAACTTTACTATGGTAAGTGGCAAAGGGTCAACAACTGTATGCATGAATCCCGTAAGATGTCAGTAAAAAAATAAAGGGGAGGTTGAAAAGACTGCTGAAAAGGGAAATAATTAACCCATTCGCTCCTGGAGATTTTGCCGAAAAACGCGTTTTGAAGGTACTCGAGTGGTTTTCTGGCCACTGTCCTGCTATAAAGAGCTAAAACTTACAACAAACCGGTTTACAGGTTGTACACTTCACGGCCTTCTGATCCAGATGCAAAATATCAGCTTGCGAAGTTCGGGCATACACAGAAAGCAAAATTTCAAGATAGTTTTTGGGTTTAAAAGTAACACAGCAGTCTTGACTTTTACTTTTCGCTTTCTCTCCTCCCCTCTTTTTTCGCCTTTCCTGCCTCATTTTTTTTCCTCTTGCTGGGCATTTAGTAGGCTTAATTTTGGTGGGACTAGTTTTAGGAAAGCTTTTAGGATCTTAGGATTAGGTGAAAGGAAAGGTAGGTGAGCAATGGAACAAGATTTTCATGCAGATTTTCAGGTCAACGTTACATGGTTTTTTGCCTCTTTCTCCGGTGTCCTTGACTGAATTCTGGTATGGTTTGAAAGATCTCTTCACTCTGCACAAGTTAGCGGACAAAGTTGTCCTTTACCATTAAAACTGATGACATCACAAAGGGTAGAAAAGACGTGGATCCGCACAGGCGGTTACGGGCGGTTCAGGGGTGAATGGGTTAAGGGGTAAAAAATGGTAAATTCAAGACTTTGCAAGACCCCGGTTTCAAAATTCAAGACCTATCAAAAATGCTTCTGAGACTTGGACATCAGGCCAAAATTTTCTGAGACCCATGTTTCTATACCCTTATAACTGGAATGGGGAATGGAGAACAGGGGATGGGGCAGAATTAGATGCGATCAACACAAAATAATATGTTGCCTTACTAGGGTAAACCTTTTTTCAATCTCATGTAGAGTTGTAAAACTTCTTTCAGAGTTGGTACTATTAAAGATTACTTTTCACAGCATGAACTGTCCAAACTTTCAAAGATGTGTCAGCTTCACACAATAAGAAATTTAACTTAACAATTAAATTTTACTCGTTATTTTTGAAATAGTTCAAAGATCGCTGCACTTTCATCACGGATTAATAAAATTCAAGTATCTGTGTTTTTGTAAGACCGCCCCCAAATCAACAGTCTTATTGGCGGACAAGTCATCAACCAAGTTTATAGCACCACCTCCCCCAATTGTGCTGCGCAAAATAAAACTTGAAGACAACCGAGTAAGAGACGGTTCAACTGATTCTCCAGCACAAAATCTCTGTGTTGGCTAAACATCAACTCGTAGCTTACCGTACGACAACTGACGCAAAATTTCTCGAATATTACGCGTTGTTCTGAATGTGCCTTAATTTTTTTTGTAAAATTTTGTCATGCGCTCGTCTATATTAACAAAAACGTCGAAGAAGACCTTAGTGTTTGGGTTATAAAAAGAAAAAAGTTCCAGTAATTGCTTCCTTTATTATGTATCAACAAAAGCGCACTCCAATGAGGCGGAAATTTATGTTGCTCGAGCTCTCAAAACTGAAAGTACAAGTGACGCACGGAAAGATATAGAGGCGCAGTTTCGTAATTTAAAGCGTTGCGCTAGCCTGAAAACTGTCTCAGTGCGAGAAAAAGATGTTTCCAGTGAACGAATATTTCAATTATTGCCTATAAATACTGATTTGTCCGCTGTGTTGAACTCAACCAGCGCGCGCTCGTCTCGTTTTCTCAATGGTGACAAGCGCCCCGTCGGAAATGAATGCGTTCTAGAATTTTGCACAATGCGCGTCGAAAACTAGGTTTTCGTCAAGACGTGCGGTTTAAAGTCTTGCGCATACCGCCAAGACCAAATCTACCCCTGTGATAGTGAACGACAGTCGCTCTTATTCGCTTAAAGAGGATTGGAGCCGCAATACGCACTTTCAGTCGGCTTCGACCTCACTTGCGAGTCTAAACAAGCTCTCGAAAGCTCTGGCACTAAATTGGACAGTGCGCATTGAGAATATTACGCAGAAAATACGGAAACAAACTAAACCCATCGAATTACATCGCAAATCATAACATGAGAACAAAAATGCGACTAAACGATCGCTGGAAAGCCAAAATTCTGCCCGCAGCGAACGGTATCTATGCTCAACAAGGAACGCAAAACGGACACAGTTGCATGAGTATTTCGTATTTCTCAAAAGAAAATCTTCCTTTTTTCGACGCAAAACAATGCGTAAAAGTCTATCAAGCTTGAGAAGATGTACATTTATGTAAAGTTTACGTGCGCAAATGAGTTAAAGCGAATATACTGGGACGAAAGCGAAAAGCGCGTCGAAAACCGGTCAGCTTTTCATGTATGCGTAACTTCGCCCGTTCTGAACTTCGATTTGCGCGTTGCGCGATACTAAAAAGCTGCCAAGATGTACCTGTTTTTTCCGTACATTGGAATCTTTTTTTGCTCCAGTCTTTTCAACAAGCCTATCCACTATGCTCAAAAGGTTCCTATGAGAAAAACGAGAAAAAAAAGCACAAAAATGCAAGCGTCAAAAAGCGACGTCACGAAAATGAGACACGGAAACTAAAGCGGAAAGTCCGCCAGTAAACAACGACTACTTACCGCTTCTTCTTCGTGTTGTCGAGCGCCATTTTTACGTTGTAATTTAGCACCGCCGAACTTTCAAGATTCAACATTTAGCGGACTTTCACGGAAGGGTGTTGGTGAGGGAACTGAGAAAGAATATATCCAACGCAAAAACCAAATGAGATTTGCATAAAATTTACAAGTTAGCGCGCCCGGTGTGATCCCACAGTTCTTTGCGGTGGCTAAGAAATTATGGGCTGGTTGGGAAATATCTATTTTTAGAATTCAGTGCTATGATGAGGTAATGTTTTGGATTGCATTTTTGACCCTCCAAATTAAGTCCTTCTAAAACTTTTTTGGGAATCATTCAATGCTCTGTTGCGCAAAAACATTAAATTTAAAGACATAAGAGACTCAGAAATCAAACGACAATCATTTTCATTGGTAGCGCATCAGTTCAAAGATGACGCGAAGCTTCAAACGCCGTTTCAGTTTATTAAAATAGAATTGTACAAAACAAGTGAGCATTTTATAAACAGAGATTGAAGACTCTTAGCTCCTGCCGCTAGATGTGTCCACGTTTTCCCTAATTCAGTCACATCTTCTCTTCACTAACCCCTACAATGTAGTTTAAAAAATTCTGATCTGCTTGAATCAGTTTCTGACGGCAATCATAAACCGTTGTTACATGCGCGGAAACGCAGACAAATTAAAAACTTCAAACTTCAACTTTCTTTAGTAAAAACGGTTTAACAATCGACTGGCCTCGCAAAATAGCAATTGTTAATCTAGGCGGCCCAGTTAAAAGAAGAAAAAAATGAAGGGAAGAAAAATATTTCAAGTTACAATAATTCTTATTTCTGTCAACATAGTTTATTATTACTATTACAACTGAGGAGAACGAAAAACTGGGAATTGATGGAGTGTTGTAAGGCATATAAGCTATACACAAGTGTGCACACGGCATCATAACAGCATCTGGCGATTAGCCTTCAGTTTCCAGGCTATCAGATAGCAGGGAAAACGCATAAGTGAAAAGCACGAAAAAATATCGCAGGCCACTGGGAGGAGATATTGTATCTGATTTCCTACTTAAAACATTCCTGTGGCGGATCCAGGGAAGTAGGAGGGCAGGTTGGTATGGATCCAAGGCCCATCAGACCAGAAAAATGTTTAGTAATTTAATGATTATTTGGATTTGAAGCTCAGTTAAAAAGAGAATCTCCAGTCTGAGGCTAGTGTTCACACTATAACAAATAGCTTTTAATTTGGAGCCGCAATGAAAAGCTATATATCCGGTATCAGGGTATGAACACCTATGCGATATACGTGACTCTCCAATTACGAGATCGGCGCGACGCAGTTTCGCTCCGTTACAGAAATCGCGCCGAAATAGCCGTTCATTAAGAGTGAACAGAAGTTCTATCTAGTAAGGTTTTCGTGCCGGCGCAAAAGCTATTCAGTGTGAGCATAGCCTGATTTACAATTGCTATATTTCCAAATATATTACAAAAATAGAAAAATTACCCACCCACTAAAAACTACTACAACTAAACTACTCATTGTTTCAATGCTGTCCAAAAGCAGTCAACACGCACGCATTGCGCAGCTGGCGTTAGTTATCGATACTAAAGCAAAAAATGAATTATGGCTTATCGCACGCTCTCTAAATGGCAATTCGACTTGCCAGCTTTAAGACAAGGTTATTACATTGCATTTAACTTGTTTTGAAAACCCCTGTTTTCACTCGGGCTTCAAACCTATCTTTTTCGTTTTTAGTGAGGAGCTTCAGAAATGTTCACAGCCACTCCATGATTACACACCAACTGTAAAAAATTCCAACCGAGGGCACTTGTGGGCTCATCCCAATTGTTCAAAAGCCGATTAACACTAAACCGGGGCTCAATCCTTTCCGAGTTTCGTTCAGTCTTTTGTTCTAAAGTATTTCCTTAGGTAATTTTTTATTTTCTTTTCAGAGATTCCAGTCATTAAATTGTAGCCACCAACAATTAAACTAACGTGTTTACCTTAGTGAAGCTTTGAACCAGCCGTCCCTGAAGCAACAACTTGAAAACTAAGGCGAATTATTTAAGTGCGAAGCGCGAGTTGGTGTTGTTGATAGTGGTCGCAGTGATAACTTCTCTCAAAAGGGCCAGCTGACGCAAGTTCGCGCGCCGTCAAGAAAGGATAATATCTTGAAAAGAAGAGATGCAAATAGTCTAGTTAATATCCGGCTGCGCAGAGAAAGGTAGCTTAATTTGCCTGCTACTTTGTTGCTATCATATGTAACTAATAGTCTACTGATCACTGCGATATTTTTAGGCCACAGTCGGTCAGTTTAACTAGGCCAACTATGACTTGGTGCACGATGAGGCATAGTTACAGCTGCGACCACTTGTAAGCTTGGAGAACTGATAACAGGTCTGTTGTTTTGCCGACTCAAGATTTTCCTTCATTTATATTCCAGTTTACAATCTTTTAGATGGGCTAAAATAGCTCCTCCTGAGTAGCAAATTAGCAACTAAACGCCACATGTTTGGCAAACTCCTGCTACCGTTGGTACTTTTTCTTTGGAAAGACCTTTATTTGCCAAGTCCCCGTGGCGTCATTATTCCGCGCGGCCTATCCGTTTCGGGTCACGTGGTCCGAGCCAGGTTTTGAGAGAGTTTATCTCCCGGCCGTTTGTCTCGGATACATCACCGAAATGCATTGACCGAGAAGGCCTGGGAAGGTGTCGTACAGGGACTAGGCAATACTTGATGGTAGCTTTGACGGTTGACGGTTATTTTTTTAGAGCTTTTGACGGTTGACGGTTATTAAGTAGCAATTAAGTGCAAAAGTTAAAGTAAACATTAACTTCTGTGTGAATTAATATCAGCTGTTGTGTTTTAGAGGTTTTCTTGGCTTCTTACTTCTTACTTGGAAATATTTTCAGATATTAGTAGTTTGTAAGGTATTGAATGCCTAGAAGTCTAGAAAGAGTGTTTTTGAGAACATGGGAACTGGCTTCTCCGGTTTAGAAATTCTCTAGGAGCCTGAATGCCGGGAAGATCAGCTGAAATAGTGAGCTGGTTAATTTTAACCTGCTTTTTTGACAGTTCACCGCAAAAATAACCTTTTTTGACGGTTGACGGTTAATTTTTTAGAGCTTTTGACGGCTGACGGTAAACTCCATTGACACCCTCAAACTTGACCCACTAGCTAGTGATGTCATACCTATACTCTCAGATTTTTCAGAGGCTCGATCACCAATTGCCCGGTCCTTAAGCCACATTGTTCAGCGACCGAGTAGGCTTTAAAATACGTCGTACAAGAGAAGTACACCGCTCTGTAACAGACCCAGTGGAATCTATATCTTCACATTTTTCTCGTAGAAAACGTCACCGGGTTGGTTTATTTTCCACTGGTTTTTTTTTCGTAGTTGTGTATCTCCCATAAAAAGTTAAAAGAGGTACAGTGGCGGTTCTTACATCTTTATAATGCAGTATGAAACCGTTGAAAACCTTTACTTTATTATTATTACTGTTTGTGATTTAGCAACAGGACGGGAACGTCAGTTGACGACGGAAAAGCGCGCGGAAAGGACCAAACACGACTTCCGGAGCCCAATTTGCTGTTCTGCCATTGGTCAAGCCAGTTGTTTGATTTGCGCGCGCTGTCGTCAAATGACTTCCCCGTTCTGTTGCTAAATCGGCCTATCCTAGCGGGAAAACTAAAAGATTTACACTTTTATCCGCGATCGATTACTGCATGTCGTATATTTTCGAAATTCGCTGGGTTTGTAGAAGTCACAACAGAAAGTGACCGGGAGGCACAGCGAGACGCGGAGGGAAAGGAGAATCGCGTCGAGTGCTCGGCTTTCCTCGGGGGTGGTGTTCCTCGCTCTAGCATACCTTAGGAAAATAATGGACTAGTTGCAGTCTAACGGACACTTGTTAACTTTCACATCTCAATTTAAACCTAGAAAGGAGAGTAACGGTGGGTAAAGATTAGCTATCGCACCAGCATGACAGTCTACAATAAAGGTTGCTAAAATAGAATTTCTCTTGGCAACTTTTCAGTAACAGTAATGTAATGAACCAAAGAAATTACCATCCACGCACTGACGTAGTAGCCTTTGTACAGACGCCACCTCAACTAAAAGAAGTCGGCATTAAATTTTAACAACGGGGATACGGCCGCGCTCGGGGGCTGAATTTATTTTCAGGGGAAGGCACTGATCACAGAGAGCATGGAAATTGAAGGAATACGTTGCTGTTTATTGTGATTTTACAATGGAATACAAACGAAACCACCTCGGGACTTGAAAATGTGGGCAAATGTCCCTCCCATCCCCGGGAGAAGGCAGAATTTTTTTTTTGGCTTGAAGGAAGCTAAAAATAAACTGTACAAAAAAATCTGAGCCAGCAGCGACTGAGTGCTTATTTCTCTAGTGAGAACAAGAGGGAATGAGATGTTGAAAGTGTTAGTGATGGTTTGGTCGGACAGTCAGCCATGTCATCGCGGGGATATCTTCCAGACACGATAAGAAAGTGAACTCAGCGGTGAGGTATATCGTCAGGCTTCCCAAAGTTTCCTATGGCATTTTTAAGTAAATGATGATGATCATGTTACCACATTTGGAAAAGTAAAATTTGGTCCGTTTGCAAAAGCAGTTTTGAATGAAAATCATGTGAAACTAAAGAGCTTCCGACTTCCTCATCACTTTAACTTCAAAAGGAACAGAAAAAAACCCTTGACACTTTCAAGGAAGTGGAGGGACCTATATGCACTTGCGTACTTGAGAAAATGTTGAAAAATAAAAATAACTGTGATGAGGATGGTGATGATGATTATGGTGGTTGTTTTTTATACGGCAAAGTTGATGAAGTGTCTAAGTTGCAATGCTTGTGTGCAAATGATTTTCTTTTGGTGCATTCAGCTCAACGTCCCAAAAAACGAACGCACTCAATCAGTCTTTGGATATCAGTAGTTTTTTTTTTTGACCGTTTATATTATTCGTAGGTAAATTTTAAAATATTTATGAGTACGTCTATAATACTCTTTACAACAAATAAGTATATTCTTTTTTTGTTTAAAATGAACGATTACTGAGAGAAGACGGAGATCT